CTTCTTCTTCTTCTTCTTCTTCTTCTTCTTCTTCTTCTTCTTCTTCTTCTTCTTCTTCTTTATTTAACATTTCGTATAATACTGGTTTGGTGGTGCTGAACTCCTTTAGCTTGTTCTTGTCTGGGAAGATATGATATCAAATGATATCTTTGCTGGGTAGAGTAATGTTGACTGTAGATCTTTACTTTTCATCACTTTGAATATTTCTTGCCAAGCACTTTTAGCCTGAAAAGTTTCTTTTGAGAAATCAGCTGACAGTCTTATGGGAACTCACTTGTAAGTAACTAACTGCTTTTGCTTTGCTGCTTTTAAGAGTCTTTCCTTGTCTTTAACATTTGGCATTTTAATTAGGATGTGTCTTGGTGTGGTCTTCTTTGTTTCCATCTTGTTTGGGACTCTCCACACTTCCTTGATTAGTGTGTCTATTTCTTTCATCAAGTTAGGGAAGTTTCTTCTCATTATTTTTTCAAATAAGTTTCCAATTTCTTGCTCTCTCTCTTCTCCTTCCAGCACCCCCATAATATGAATATGGATATGCCTGTCCCAGAGGCTCCTTACACTATCCTCATTTTTTAAAATTCTTTTTTCTTCTTACTGTTCTGATGCTTACTTTTTGCTTCCTTGTATTCCAAGTCACTGACTTGATTCTTAGCTTCATCCATTCTACTCTTGATTCCCTGTACACTGTTGTATATTTCAATTAGTGTATCCATTGTTTCTGACTGGAGTTTTTAATGCTGTTGAGGCCCCTCACTAAGTTCCTTGGCATCCTTATAACAAGTGTTGTGAAATCTCTCTCCATCTAGTAAATTGCTTGTCTCTATTTTGTTTAGTTCTTTTTCCATAGTTTTATTCTGTTCTGTCATTTGGGCATCATATTTGTCTCTTTATTTTGGCAGTCTCCCTGTGTTTGTTTCTATATGTTAAGTAGAGCTACTATCACTCTGTGTCTTGGTAGTATGGCTTAAGGTACTGGGTGTCCTGTAGAGTCCTGTGGCACAGCCTCCCCTATTTCCCAAGCTGGGTACTCAAGTTGTGCCCACTGTGTGCACTGTGTACATCCTTTTTTAACACAAAAGGATATTTCAATTCAGAAGAAAGAAAAGTCAACCCACACCCATTAATGCAATCTTTCTCCATCAATGTACATTGTATTGTAATCTTCTCTTTATATATGTCTGTCCTGAAAGTCTCTGAGCTACTTGAGAGTAGTGACTTTGCTTATTAATTTTTAACATTCTGAGCACCTGGAATGTAGCACATCTTCATTTTATGTTTGTTGAAGTATACCTTTATTGGTCTTTAGGATGTAATAAATTGCAAAACACACTATTGATTTTTAAAATATTTTATTTATTTATTTTTTAGAGAGGGGGAAGGGTGGGAGAGAAACATCAGTGTGCGGTTGACTCTCATGTGTTCCCTACTGGGGTCCTGGCCTGCAACCCAGGCATGTGCTCTGACTGGGAATTGAACCGGCCACCCTTTGCTTCACAGGGCTGTGCTCAATCCACTGAGCTACACCAGCCAGGGCAACACACTATTGATTTAATGACAGATTTATCTGGGCACCACATTTGTATAGTGCATTTGTAAAAAAAACTGTTATGAAATACATCCTCATTTAAAGAAAATTAAAATTTTCAATGTATGCCTCAGAGCGGAGGAAATTCTCTAATTGTCCTTTACTAGACTTCCAATCTCAAAAACACTGTGTACTTTGGCTCTGTTATTCAGAAGACAAAAATTCCGTAAGTATTGGTTATATTGACTCAAATCACCCTACTCTTTCTACAGTGTTTTTTCTGAGACCACTGACTATTCCCACATATTTATCTATTACTGTTTTCTTGGGTTTCCATTTCTTTGTATTACACCCTCCTCTTTAAAATTCTTCAAAGGTTTTTTATCGCCTTCTTTTGCCCTAAGGGCCCTACAGTCAGATCCCTTTCCTCCTTCAGTGGCTCTCATTCTCCTCAGTGTGGACAGCACCCCCGCAAGGCCCACCCCCCATCTTTTCTCAGCCTTCAACTAGTGGTATTCAACCCTGGCTGCACATCACAACAGCCCTTTACAAATGTCCAAGCCCAGATCCCAACACATATTAATGGAATCAGTCAACTTGGACTGAAATGTTAGTTCTGTGACCCTTGATCATGTAACTTGACCCCTGAAATTCAATTAAAATGATGTTAATGTCTGCTTCATCACAGTACTGAATACATTCTAACTCCCAATCATTATACCAATTTTTTCCATGTATTTAAAGCCCATGTTTCCTTGAAAGCTCACTCAAATCCCTCTTTCTTCCCAGAACCCTCCATAATCACTATTTATTTTGGCTCATTTGCAAAGCACACTAGAAACTTAAGATAGGCCTGTTAAAAGTGAAATAGTCTCCCAACTGATCTTCTTGCACCTGTTCTCATCACCTTTCAATCCATTCTCCACATAGCACTCAACTATTCCAGTGTTCTTACAAAAAAAATTGAATCATGTGGCTTCTTATTTTGAATCTTCTAATAAATTCCCTTTGTTCCTGGATTAAAATCCAAATTCTCTAGTCTGGACAGGACACAGGATTCTAGAAAATCTAACCCTCATCTCACGATCCTCCCACGGCTTTCTGTAGTCCAGCGGCACTGGTCCTAATCTGATACCACCCTCTCCTACTGCAGGGCCTGCGCATGCTCTTTCCTCCGCCAGGGAAGTACTCACAGTCACTTTTCTAAAGTCAGCTCGGTGAACTCTTCGCTGATCGTCAGTCCAGGTAGATGCCCCTAGTAAAGCCTCTTTATACCCCGTAAATGCCCTTTGTGATGAAATGTTTTATTGTAAACTTGACAGAATACGCACCAGTATAAACTTTTTCTTGAAGAACCTCTTATAGTGTTTGATTTGTTGCCATATCATGAATTTTATTTGTTCGTTAAAATTATTTAAAAGCATGAAACACAGTATAATGTTCTTTAAAAGCCATTTAGTTGTTTAATGTCTCTCTTCCTCTAGAACACAAGTTCCAAGACAGGCATACACTGGGCCTGTTTTGCTCACCACTGCAGCCACAAAAACCTAGTGTTGATTTGAACATAGGAAGTGCCGAATCTAGTGAGTGATGGCTGCTGACCGAGGACGGAACGTGAAAGTCAATTGGGAAGCTAAGCACTCACCTTGCCCAGGACAGAGACAGCCCTCAATTGCCCTTAGAGAATGCCAAGGGGTGGGGCACTCCTGGGCCTGCCCTAGTCGGAATCCTATCCAGAAGCATCTTCCCAGCCTTTTAAGCACTTGGATGTGCTTAACGTCTCACGAGCAAGGACGCATTTAGGTTATTGACATTTTAACTAGTCACAAGTAGGACCCGAGCCAGAGACTGCTGACGAGTCCAGGGGGTCATCAATACACTACAATTTTGTTAACTTTTCTAATTATATAATTTTCTAGTTACAATTGCCTCCATTATTAATTTGTCACTCAACATATGCAACTTGGTTTTGTTATTTTTCCTCATATATATCTATAGATAGATATCCAATTTACCAATTGAATCTATAATCCCCTAAGTACAAAGTCTTTTTCACAAATCACCTGCTTTGAATCCTCATCACCTGGTACAATTTATATCATATTCCCTAGGAATGAACATTGCCAGCATTCTTTCACCCATGGGAAATGTTCCAAACTTTAATATTTCTTGGATATTTTCTTTTTTTTTAAGATTTATTTATTTTTTAGAGAGGGGAAGGGAGGGAGAAAGAGAGAGAGAGAAACATCAATGTGTGGTTGCCAAGAGCAAGAACATGGCCCCCACTGGGGACCTGGCCCACAACCCAGGCATGTGCCCTGACTGGGAATTGGACCTGCGACCCTTTGGTTCATAGTCTGTGCTCAATCGACTGAGCTACGCCAGCCAGGGCTCAGATACTTTCTAATAAGTTTTTTAGTGTTTAAATAAATACAGCAAAGTTTCACATTTATCAATGCTTGTTGAAGTTTCTTTGATTTTTCAGTGGCCTTTAATATTTTGGGTGGTGATTGGAAATATTTGATAGGAGGTTTGTAGGTAGATGCCTGCAGTTTTATCTGAACAAAGTGGGATAGTGTAATTAGAACGTGTGTTTTGCATGCAATAAATTGTAACTATTTATCTGTGGTTTAGGTATAGGATATGCTTTATATATAAGATGCAGGAATTGCCTAGTGACATCTTTTGTCGTCCTGAGATTGTGTTGCGGTAACTAGGATGTTTGACAGAGGGGTTCAGCGTCTGTCTCTTTCCAGTGTGGTTTATGTTGTTGTGATGTAGCAGAAAAAGACTAAAGTCCATGAATTTTGCACACACTCGTGCTGTATTCCTGAGTATGAAAAACGAGGTGAAATAGACTCAAGAAACCCTTGTCTCCACAAAGCAAAGGCCAACTAAGATATTACCAAATCTGCAGTCCTGTAAGAGACTGATTGATCTCTCCCCTCTTAGGAATCTGAATTATATGTTACATCCAGATGACAAACCTGTATTTGCTCTTTTCCTGTAATTTAACATACCTTGAGCCAGACATGTTTAATTTAGGTTAGAAGCTACCTTAAGATAGCATGAATTCAAGCCACTGTGTGACTTCAGTAGGATTACATTTATTAACCGAGATTACCCATTATGATGGTTTCTAAGCCAACAGCATGAAATGAGCTATTTTTTAAAACCAGAAACAATTATACTGTTGTTTTCCATAGAAAGAAGTACTTATATAGTTGAAGCTACCCTACTCATTCTATTGCTAGTCTGAATTGCTACAGGCTGGTTTTCTTTACCTTCCCTATATTGTATGCATGCTTTGCCCATTTTCTCCACTTAATTAAAATCTATAGAGAGCGAAAATTTTGTGTTTATTAGGAATAAGAAAAGAAATAAAGCAGTAATATACTTAAATTTTAAAAAATTATCTCTTTTACAAATTTAGGAAGGAAACTAATTAATTAAAAATGTATTCATATATGCTTACCATGGGTTTTGGTATCTGTGGCCTATTTCATCAATAGCAGCTCGCCTTAGTTCTTTATGCTGTAAAAGGAAGAAAATTAATGTACCCTAATTCCAAGTTAAATAGGCACCAACATGTCTAAGGGTCTATGTTTCTAACTGAAAGGGAAGTCAGGGTGGGCAGTTAAACAGAAAATTCTAAATTCAGTTAAAAGAAGGTGTTTTATTTAAAGTTATTTATTTATTTATTTATTTACTTATTTATTTATTTATTTATATAAAAGTACTGTACCATTCAAATTTTTTGAATAAGTACACACTCAAAGCAAATAACTAAAATCATGACAATACTGCCCTTGCTTTTGGGAAGAAAACAGACATCACCAGTTGTCTCATGTATAGCTGGGCATAATTTTTCCTAAACAAAGTTACATTTGCATTATAAGGATTCACCTTATCAAAGGTATCTTTCATATTTTCAGTTGCAGTTTACATTCAATATTATTTTGTATTAGTGTCAGGTGTAGAGCACAGTGGTTAGACAGTCAAATACTTCACAAAGTATTTCCCCCCAATAGTTCCAGTACCCACCTGACACCATACACAGTTATCACAGTATTATTGGGTATGTTCCCTATGCTGTGCTGTATACATCCCCATGAATATTTGGAAATGACCAATGTGTACTTCTTAATCTCTTGGCCTTTTTCACCCAGTCCCCCGTCCCCTCTGGCAACCCTGAGTCTAGAAGTAATCAAAAAAGTGCAAAAACTGAAATAAATATGACCCTATGCATTTTACTTTCTGTAAAAGGACAGACATTGAGTAGCAAGAAGAGTGTCATCAGTGATCTCGGGGTCTAAATAAACAGGCCTTCAAGACTAGTGTTTATCACTCAGACTCAGAGGATTCGGGCCTTTTCCCTTTACCTTCATGGAATCAGAGAATGTGGTAGTAATAACATGCAGATTATGCACAGGTAGCTGCGGTAAAGTGTAGATCCAAAAACTTCTTTCAGAAAGCATAATTTGGAAAGTTGATGATATATCTGTTAGCTTAGAACTAGTTCTCATGTGAAAAAAATCTCACACCCTCGGGTGTGTATTGAAATTATCGCTGAATAAGTGATCTCTGTGTGCTGCCTCCTTTCCCCCAGGAACTAGCCAGTGGATGGCACGTCTTATGCATAAGCTTGGGGAGTAGGGGTGTCAGATTTATACTGAAAAGGGTTTGGGTTTGTAATCATTTCTAAGTTGTCCATACCGGGGTTGGGAAACAATGATATGGGTTATCAGAAGTATTTCACTTCAGTTTTGGAATGCATTTTTTGCTTACATTGATGTGGGGTGCTATATTTGTATAGACTAGTCAAATCATATTATAATAATCTCAATAATGTAGGATTTTTATAAAACTTCCTTTTTTTCTTTTTTTTCCCTCCAGTTTTGGTTTAGAATGACTTTTCCAATCAAGTGCTTCAAAGTTACTTGTTTTAGAAAAGCAGGTCTACTTAAGTCACCAACTCGGGGATAAAGACCTGAAGCCTTGACCACGTCTCTCTAATGTCCACATATAAAGAAAATGACAAATGGGATTTTAATGCAAGGCTGTACCACCATTGCACAGAAAATCTGAAAGGTTATTGTCTGTATGAAATGAAGAGATCATGGTATAATATTGTTTCTTCAATTGACTTCTGACACACTGATTTCCTGAAAATTGATCTTATCAACTGACTTAAAAATAATGTTATTGTCAGCTTCTGGACAAATTGTTTGGAATTTCACGAATCTCCTCTGACATCCATTTACTTTTTTTTCTTTTTTTTTAATATATTTTATTGATTATGCCATTACAGTTGTCCTATTTCCCCCTTCATTCCCCTCCATCCTGCACACCCCACACACCCTCCCCCACCATTCCCCCCTTTAGTTTATGACCACATGTCTCAAGTTCTTTAGATTCTGTATTTCCCATACTATTCTTGCCCTCCCCCTATCTATTTTCTACCTACCATCTATGCTACTTATTTTCTGTACCTTCTCCCCCCTTCTCCTTCTCCCACTCCCCTGTTGCTAACCCTCCATGTGATCTTCATTTCTATGGTACTGCTCCTGATCTAGCTGACCTCTTAGTTTGCTTTTGTTTTAGGTGTTGTTGTTAATAACTGTGAGTTTGGTGTCCTTTCACTGTTTATCTTTTTTATCTTTTTTTTCTTAGGTAAGTCCCTTTAACATTTTATATAATAAGGGCTTGGTGATGATGAGCTCCTTGAATTTGATCTTATCTGAGAAGCATTTTATCTGTCCTTCTATTCTAAATGAAAGCTTTGCTGGATAGAGTAATCTTGGTTGTAGGTCTTTGGATTTCATGACTTGGAATACTTCTTTCTAACCCCTTCTTGCCTGTAAGGTCTCTTATGAGAAATCAGCTGACAGTCTGATGGGAACTCCTTTGTAGGTGACTGTCCCCTTATCTCTTGCTGCTTCTAGGATTCTCTCCTTCATTTTAATCTTGGCTAATGTAATGATGATGTGCCTTGGTGTGTTCCTTCTTGGCTCCAACTTCTCTGGGACTCTCTGAGCTTCCTGGATTTCCTGGAAGTCTATTTCCTTTGCCAGATTGGGGAAGTTCTCCTTTATTATTTGTTCAAGTAAGTTTTCCACTGGTGGCTGTTCCTTTCCCCCTTCTGGTACCCCTCTAATTCGGATGTTGGAGCGTTTAAAGATGTCCTGGAAGTTCCTAAGTCTCTCCTCATTTTTTTTGAATTCTTGTTTCTTCGTATTTTCCTGTTTGGCCATTTTTTTCTTCTTTCTGGTTCATTCCCTCGATTTGAGTCCCAGTTTCCTTTTCATCACTATTGGTTTCCTCACAAAAATGAATTCAACATCCTCACAAAAATAGGTAACAATGATTGGTATAGTCTCTATATTAAGGAAATTAGTGAAAATCTTTTACAGTAATTTGAATGTTTTCAACTAGCAGAAATAAAAATTCAAAATTGGATATTTCCTATTAAGCCATTTTTAAAAAGTCAGCATTAATCAAAGGGAAATATCTGCTAACTACATTCAGATATCATAAATTAGACACAATTTCCGAATGACTTAAAAATTGTCCAATTCGACTTAATTGCAGACATTTGAGGCTCACTCTAGTTAACAATTAAAGTCATTGCTTTGTATTTCACTTTTAATCTTAAACCCCTCTAGTCTAGCTCTGATATACTTAGGAAATTTTGAGGGGATTGATCACTGAGAATCCTTCTGCTTTGTTGCCATGCTTAACTCAAGATTTTTTTCTTTATTCAATCCTAGAAAGTACCACTTTCCATCTCTACGACTATGAGGTCTTTCTCTCCAGCGGAATAAATATAATGGCAATGCATTTTAAGAATGCATAGACACTAGGGTTTCTCTTCTCCGTCCTCCTCCTTGGTGACATAGAGTTCTTAGTACCAAACATTTGAGTGGAAAATCCCCTAAGGCTACCTTTTCTTATGCTAATAGATTTTTTTCCCTTCACTTGCCTCAATTTGCAAAATATTACTGTTAACCCCTTAAGTGTCTTTCTTCCCACAGCCTGTGAGAAGCATTCTCATTGTAGCTGGATCACCAACTTGCATAATGTTGTCTATTCTAGACTAGAACTATTATAGGGAGCAAGGGGGCATACGAGCCTTTGTGTAAATGGAGCATTTAAAGTACTCATTTTATATTCAGAGCATGAGTAGAAACAAAACAATTCTTCCTGAAAAATGTCAGTGTTTAAGGCATGGACTCTGTGATGCATTTTTCTTATTAAAAAGACAAAAGTGAACAATGCAGAGACTCATACTTCATTGTATGACACATTATATATGGGCATCAATATGAATTATATTCTGGTCTTTCTCTTTTTTAACTGCAGTGTTTTTAACTAATTTGAAAACATACATCAACTTTCAGCAAACAGACTCAACATTGATCTTTGTGAGTTTGTTGCTGGTGGCCCCAGGATTTCTGTTTTTTGTGGAGTATACAAATGAGCAACACATTCCATTGTTTCTAATGTGCTTATAATAATATAATTCAGAACTTCCACCAAGATGGACGCATAGGTGGAGATGCCGTGCTTTCTCACACAACCAAGTTTAGAGACAACAAAATATTAGCAACAGAAAACACAGCCAGAACACAGAAAATTGAACTTTTTGGAAGTCTGATAACAACAAATTCTTCAGCCTGACTGGTAAGAGAGGAGAAGCCAGCAGCTGGTGGAGCGGGGTTGCATAGGAAAACTCGGTCAGATGGACTCAAGGGTGCGGATCCCAGGTGTGGGGTTGCAATGGACGGACCCAGTGAGCGACCCAGTGAGTGACCGGGGGACCCAGTGAGGGTGCAGGGCGGTGGGTTGACTGTGGTTGCGCATTCGTGCACATATAGACCAGCGAGGGAGTGGGCGGTGAGACAGACGGAGCAGGCAGCAGAGGGGGCCGCTATTTCCCTGCTCCGCCCCTGCCCCCACATACAGTGTCACAACCTTGCTACCTGGACGGCCCTGCCCTCGTGAACACTTAAGGCGCCTCTCCTCATACTTAACGGGCATGAGCAGACCAAAAATGGCTCAAGAAGATCTCAAAGCCCCAGTGCCCATAACTCTAAGTGATGAAGAAATAGCCAAACTTTCAGATGCACAGTTCAAAACACTGGTGATCAGGATGCTCACAGAACATCCTGTGGATTTTAGCCACAAATTAGAGGAACATATGAAGGCTAAACTAATTGAAATGAAGGGAATTGCACAGGAAACCAATAGTGATGAAAAGGAAACTGGGACTCAAATCAAGGGAATGAACCAGAAGGAAGAAAAAAATGGCCAAACAGGAAAATATGAAGAAACAAGAATTCAAAAAAATGAGGAGAGACTTAGGAACCTCCAGGACATCTTTAAATGCTCCAACATCCAAATTATAGGGGTACCAGAAGGGGGAAAGGAACAGCCGCCAGTGGAAAACTTACTTGAACAAATAATAAAGGAGAACTTCCCCAATCTGGCAAAGGAAATAGACTTCCAGGAAATCCAGGAAACTCAGAGAGTCC